GCACATCCTATTTTATGACTTGGTGGGTTAGATAACCCAGCTCAAGATGGGCAGTTTAGGTTGCATGGTGGCCCATTGTCAAATGCTCACTTTCCACTAAAGCCCAACAGCAGGTCAAGAGCTGTCTTTCCTCTCAAAGGGAGAATAGCCAGCAAATGATGGAAGGTAGAGCCTTGCTCCAAAATCCCAAAGGTATCTTCTGTGATTCACTTATAGGGGCCTGTCAAAGGCTCCAAGAAGCATCCCTATCAGCCATTGACATCTCAAGTACCATCAGGTTTGCTGGATCATATGGTCCAAGTGGTAGAGCAGTCTGAACAGCAGCCTGGACCTGCTGAAGAGCTTTGTCTTGTTCCAGGCCCCACGCAAAGCTAGCAGCTTTCTGAGTCACTTGGTATATGGGTGGGAGTAACAAACCCGAGTGAGAAATGTGCTGTCTCCAGAGTCCAAACAGGCCCACTATACATTGTGCTTCTTTTTTGGTGGTGGGAGGAGCCAGGTGCAATAACTTATCCTCTGCCTTAGAAGTATCTCTGCATACCCTGCATCACTGGCCTCCGAAGAATTTCACTGAGGTCAAAGGCCCTTGAAATTTGGTTGAATATATTTCCTATCCTCTTGTGTGAATATATGTGTTACCAACAAGTCCAAAGTGGTTGCTACCTCCTGCTCACTTGGTCCAACCAGCATAATGTTGTCAATATAATGCACCAATGTCATATTTCACATAAGAGACAGACAATAGAGATCCCTTCTGACTAAGTTATGACACAGGGCTGGAGAGTTAATATATCCCTGAGGCAAAACTGTAAAGGTATACTGCTGGCCTTGCCAACTGAAATCAAATAGCTTCTTGTGGACAGGTACCAAGAAAAAGGCATTTGTCAGATCAATAGCTGCATACCATGTACCAGATGTGCTAATCTGCTCAAGGACACCACATCTGGGACAGCAGCTGCAATCAGAGTCACTATTTTGATTGAGTTTTCGATGGCCAACTGTCATTCTCCACAACCTATCTGTCTTCTGTACTGGCCAGAGAGGAGAGGTAAAGGGAGATGTGGTGAGAACCATTACCCTGTATCTTTCAAGTTCTTGACGGTGGCATGGATTTCTGCAGTTCCTCCAGGGATGCGATATTGGTTCTGATTCACTATTTTCCTTGGCAGAGGCAACTCTCAAAGCTTCCATTTAGCCTTTCCTACCAAGATAGCCCTCACTTCACAGGTCAGGAAACCAATGTGAGAATTCTGCTCACTTTGAAGCATACCTACCCCAATTATATTCTGGGACTGGGGAAATAACCTTGGATGAATTCAGGATCTACTGAACACATCATGGATCTACTATGAGTCATACTTCAGCCAAAACTAATCACCTGACCTCCAAGTCTCTACTTTAACTGTAGGGCCACAATGTTTCTTGGGGTCTCCTGGAGTCAGCATCAATTCAGAACCAGTATCCAATAGAACCGATTGTTTGCTTTCCCCCAGTGGATAGATACCCTCCTTCTTAATGCATCCAACTGAGCAGCAGCATCTCCAACCCTAGGGTCTGGCCCAAGGAAAAGTGACAACAAAGCTCTTCAAATGTGCTGGTGCCCTCTCATCATTTTGCATCTTACAAGATTAAGTTTTATGCAGCATTGTAATTTCCCGGAGCCTTAAAATCCCTTCATCAACACTAAGTCAAGGGATGTTAGGCATCTCCAACTCCTTTTCAGTATGCCACTTTTTGACGAATGCTTCAGCCAATCAAACTTTTGACACCTTTTTAAAACTGTGTGAACTTCCATATAGTGGGCCCATGTAAACAAACTCAGCCTGATGCAGTTTTATATTCCTTCCACCATTATCCCACACCCTTAAAGTCCATTCCCACACATTCCCCAGACTTCTGCTTGAATGAATTAGCAAACTCATCAAGCTCTTTAGCAGTGTAGCACACCTACTCATGGACTACACTTTCTGCCTCCCCTCTAGGAGCCTGTTTGACCTTGAACCTTGTTATAGGTCTAGAAGCAACTGTAGGTGGACCCTGAGGGACATCAGTATTGTCATGCCTGGCATCTCCTTCAGAGAAAGTCGATGCTGATTTAGCAGACAATGAAGGATTAATTTCTTCAGTCGGGTAGAAAAGGTAATATTTTAGGGTGTGGAGTGGGAGTGCATCTGCTGAGGGTGGAGAGACTACTTCCTCAGGTGAGATAGGTCTTTGAGAACCTGAGGGCTCAAAGTTCTAGGGTCCTCCTACACACTTCCTTCCTGTTCCTGGATCCCACTTTCTACCAATTAATACCCTTACCATAATCGCCAACATTCTCCGAGGCTGGGACCAAATGTTTGCTGTAATTCAGCCAACTTTATAGTGAGGGCTTGGGTTTGATTTTCTACAACTTGAGCCCTGTGGCTGCTGCAGAGAAGATTCCCTTCCAGGGCACATTTAGAGACCTTAGACTGTTTATGCTCATCTGAAGCCAGGCAATTTTATCACCGAGTTCATTGTCCTTCACCCTATTCTGAGATGCTAGAAGTTCGTTAATTTTTATCACAGAGCCCATTCTTTTCCTTTGTCAGTCTACTCAGAGATGCTAAGAGCAACCAATGAACATCATCAGTCCCCTTATTTTCCCCACAGACTGTCAAAGGTTTTACATACAGAGTGACCAGATCCACTGCCTCTCACAATTGGTGAATCAGCATAATCAAATGCATTTGTCTCCTTAAGCTTCTAACAGTTCACACCATGGCTTTCAGTATTCTCCGAGCTTCTTCTAGGAGAGGCTTCGGCAACTGGAGAGGCTTTGGTAACTGTAGGTATTGGCAAATTGGAAAGCCCATGCTAGATGCTTAAAATATTCGTCCTTATGCTTGTGTTGCTCTAGGACCACTTCTGGTACCAAAATCTGTGTTAGTGTTCTGAAGAGGAACAGAACTGAATGAGTATATATATGATATTTTCATATATGTATATATTTCCCATCTATCTATCTATCTATCTATCAATCATCCATCTATCAATGAGAAAAGGGGGTTTATTAGGATGGCTTACAGCCTGTGATCCAGCTAGTCCAACAATGACTATCTACCCACTTGACTGGGTTTTAGTTAACTCCAGACATAGTCAAGTTGACATCTAAGAATAGCCATCACACATGGATTTCAGATTTGTGACTCTCTAAGCTGTAAAAGAACACATCTACATATGAAAACACCAGCCCTGGCCAAATCCTTTTGCTCTACCCACTTCGAAACAACTGTCCGTGAGTGGCTATCACTGTTTAATCCATAACCCAAGAAATTCATCACCAATTCACCATCTGGCCCTTGGTACTACATCTAAGAACTTGGCTCATCAGGCACAATGAAATAGATGAATGAGGACTAATGCTTACTAGTCTAGTTCTGTAGGGAGAGATAACAGAATACCCATTTATTGGCTTACTCATAAAAATATAAAGTCAACATGACGCAGCCCAGCAGTGACATGCTGTTTGGAAAATCAACCCAGAATTAAGGTAACTGGACACTGAAGATTGATGGTGCCATGTCACTGCCAGCCACTCCCCCTCTCTTGATTTTGTTGACAAATTCTTAGTTTTGCTTTTAACCACATTTTCTAGGGTCCTCAAAGGTTATCACCATGCTGCTTCAACTATATGCCACCAGATGGCTACACAGGTGCTATGTCAGTTTTCACCATCTCTTTTGAAGCTTGGGGTGTAGCCCTTATAAAGCTCAACATTGAGCAGGGACCTAAGATACTGGGGTGTCTGGAGTAAAGACCCTTTTCTCCAGGAATATGTTCTGTTTGGTGGGGGCAACAACTGAGTGCTATGTAATTCTTCGGGAACCATCTGGTCTCGATTTCTTGTGATTTCATGAATGAGATATGGTGGGACTAGAACCTACAAACCAGTCCAATCCCTCAGTTCAAAATTCCCACCACTTGGAAGGTTTTACTCACATCTTAGTTATTTTATCTGAGAAGGGGCCTTGCATTTAAACACATTTAGTGATTCACCAAATACTTACAGAATACTGGCTGTCGCCGTTTCTGAGTTGATCCCAAAAGGGCTGTGACTGCGTGGTTCCTTCCAATTTGCAGCTTTATTCTACAATGGTAACTTACATTGCCATCAAGTGTGGCTTACCTTTCTCTGGTTTCTTCACATCCACAAACCAGGATGAGTCATGGGGCCGACAAGTCACAGGTAAGCCTCTAATATACATGGCTTTTTGTTCACCAAACTTCTTGTGAGTGTCCCACCTCTGCTCTTCCCTTCTGGGGATGACACAGCTGCATAACCTTAGTCCTGAGCTTGGAAAGTTAATGGGGGCTGAGGACATAGATTATTTGGTAGAGTGCTTGCTTAGCATACATGATACCACGGAGTTTGATTCCCAGTACCCCATAAACCAGACATAGTAGTGTGTATCTCTAATCCCAGCACTCAGGAAGCAGAGGCAGAAGGATAAGTTCAAAGTCATGGTCATAGTTGAGGCTGGTCTGGGAGGCCTGAGATGCCCCCCCACACACACACACACTCACACACTCACAGGTAAAACGTTAACAAGTAGGACTAGGGAAGACTAGTAAAGTCAGTCATTTATTTGGACTCCGTTTTTTCTTTTGCAAATGTTAACTTCTAATGTCTTTGGTTTCTCTAGTTCTAAATTTCAACAATTCTTTGAGAAAACTGCATCACAGAAAGTTCCATTTCTGCCACTTCCTTGTGAGGGCTCGACTCCACTCACAGTAACTCTTGGAAATATCTTTTAAACTGTTTTTGAATACTTTACTCTGCAGCTGTCAAAACCACTCATTTAGCATATACAGTCTTATCGAAGTGCTAATGGTGTAACTGCAAGAAGAGGCTGCCACTAAACACACACAAACACATGCGCGCACGCACATACACACACAAAAAACAGGCAGAATCACTTTTGGAAACAATTTCTGTATTTCAATTTTATTTTTACAAAAAGGCAACAAGAGTAGCGAGGGGGGGAGGTAGTAAAGAAGGCTTGCTTGGTCACTCAGGGGGAAGAGACCTCCTCAGGCAGTAGGAGTGGGCCAGTTTGCTCTTCTTTGTTTCTAACAGCAGTCAACAAAGAGAAGTTCAAGATGGGGGCTAGCTAGGCTTAAATTAGCAAGGTCAGTGTGTGTAGACAGTGACAATGAAAGGGAAAGTCAGGCATCACAAGGCCCCATCCAGAGGTAAAGGGGTTTAAGTCAGACTATTGAGGCCTTGACTCTAGGCAGGGTGGGGCATGTCTTTGTGGTCGCCTGGGCCTCTCTCTCCAGGGTGTATAGGGGCCATGAGCAAAACGCCTTGGGAAGCCCCTGTGCACTACAGGGGCCTGGCGCTGGTGACAGGGTGGGCGGAAGTTGGGAACGGGTGGCTGGGGATAAAAACTAAAGTCACCCTCGAAGGTATATCCTGTGTGGGGAGGTGAAGGGCCTTCAGAATGAATATAGAATTCATCTGAATGGAAAACATGGTCTGAGGAAAAATAGGTATCTTGTGGATATAGTGGTAATGGGGGTGTTGCCTGAGGCGGGGGTAGGGGACACGACAGTAGGGGTGGGGGCCTTAAGGGCAAGCCAGGAGGTGGGAATAGAGGGCGTGGCCTGGGAAGAGGCATGGGTGGAGCCTGGGCAAAGGCCTGAGGACCTCTATTGGCCTGGGGGTGCCATTCCTCTACCAGGCCTGGACTTTCCCATGCCACAGGATCAGGCCTCCACGGGTCTCGATGGGGCAACTCCACCCCCCAGGCATCGGCCATGTGGGCCAGCAGCAGGTAAGAGAGTCTACGGTGTGCATGCTCATTCCAGTGCACCCCATCCCCCTGCAGGTGCTTCTTGGCTTGACGGAAGTGGAAATTTAAGTCCAGCACATCGAAGCAGCGCTTTGTTGCTTCGGCATGGCTGTAGAAGTTGGCTTGGCTCACTCTTTTTTTCAGGGTGGCTACCGAGATCCGGTACTGGCCCTTACATTTCTGTGGGAGGAAGGCTGCCTTGATCTTGTCACCCAAAGGCATGGCCGTGTTCCACACTAGCAGGCATGACTTGGGCAGTACCTGGTCCATGCGCCCGAACAGGCTCTCCAGGTTCTGCCTGTAGCTACTCAAGGAATTCCGCCCATACCTGGAGACATCCCAGAGGCAAGAGTTCATTATGATCACATCTGGGGCATGCGTGCCAGACTGCAGCTCCTCTAGGACTGTCTCCATGTACTCCGAATAGACACGCGTGAGGAAATAGAAGCGCACCAGATGATGGTCGGAACAGAACTCGCGAACCTCGCGGTAGTCGGTGCGGTTGTGTAGGGTATCCAGCTCGCCTCCCTTCATCAGCTGGTCTTTTTCAAATGTCAACTCCCCCTTGGTTCTGAGCTGCTTGTGAGTGAGCAGGCAATCCTTCTGCAGCAGGAGCACCAGGTCCTTGTACACCGCCCTATGCACAGAGTCCCCAAGGACGACCACATACTTGTTGTGGAGAAGCTGCTGAACTTCCGAGGCCAACAGGCGAACCATGATGCCCGGCGTGGCGCCTCCTAGCTCCCTCTTTTGCACAAGCTGGGTCTGGGAATTGCTAGAATAGAAAAGAGAGAGCTGGGAGGGACTCACCCCTAGGCAGGGCAGCAAACCTAAGAAAGATAGGGGAGTACTATTTGAGGAGCTGCTGCCTGAGGGTACGGGCCCCTGAAAAACTAACATTGCTGGCTCCAGAAGACTGGGCCTGAGGGCTGGGAAGAAGGGGTGGGTAGGCAAGAGGTAAGGAGGGGCAGAAACCCTGAGTTAGCTCAAGTTTAGGCCTGAAATTTGTTATCAACATTGGGCCTTATCTTCCGTTTGCTCTGTACATCTATTTCTCTGTTACTTTTCACTGATTACCGTTTCTTGATGCTCAAACCATCTTTAACCATATGTTAAAAACCCAACCATTGGGCTGGGGAGATGGTTGAGTGGGTCAAGGCACTTACAAACGGCTGGATTTTGGGTTCAGTAAGAGAATTCTCTCAAAAAAATAAGTGGGTAGTTGTGCCTGGTGATGGCTGCCTTTAATCCCAGCATTTGGGAGGCAGAGACTGGCAAAACTCTGGGAGTTCAAAAGGCTAGCTGTGTCTAGTGAGTTCCAGACCAGCGAGTGATACATAGGGAAAGCTCACCTAAACAAACAACAAACAAACAAATAAGTGTGTTGGGAGGGGTAGAGAATGACAAGAGGAAGATAGGCTTCAGATTCAGAAAGACAAATATTACATGTTGTCCTAAAAAAAAAAAGAAAAGAAAAAGAGGAAGGCACGCATCACTGACGCATGACTGATCTGATTCTCCACACTTGAGTGGGGTGGTGAACATGTGTGTATACATATATCCCACCCCCAAGTGCCACCCACACACCTAAAAAAAAGAAGAAAAAGGGGTTCTGGGGAGAAAGGCCTCCACAGAACAAAACTCTAGGTTCACTCCTCTGCAACTACAACCACAGGAAAACTCCAATGACTTAAATTGTTTCACTTTTCTTCCCTGCCTCTCTTTGCATGTAAATACCAAAGCTGTTTTTCTACTCTCAGGTCAGGCTGTCTCTTGGTTAATTTGCATGCCCCCAGGGGCTGAGCTAAGAAGTAGAGAAAAAGCTTTGCCTTTCCATACTTTGAGTGAAATGGTGACAGATATTGAGCTCATTTCAAAACCTTAAATTGAAGCCTGGTCTACAGAGTGAGTTCCAGGTCAGCCATGGCTGTTGTGGGACCCTGTCTCAAAACACACAAAGTTAAGACTCACATTTCAATACTGCCACCAAACTACAACTAGGCAAGGGACATAGAAACCACTTTCTTTATTGCCCTTGGAATCCACCATGATTTGAGTTGTAAGGTAATATAAACATTTTAATAGGCATGGATGGCTTTAAATTCTATTACTTTTTTCTTTTTCTTTGAGACAGGGTTTCTCTGCATAGCCCCAGCTGCCTGGAACTGACTCTGTAGACCAGGTTAGTTAGCTCCAAAATCACAGAGATCTACCTGCCTCTGCCCCCTGAGTGCTGGATAAATCATTTTTTTGAGAAAAGATTTTGCTGTATATTCAATGCTGGCCTCAAACTCCTGATCATCCCATCTAAGCCTCTGAATGCTAGTGTTACAAGCACGTACCACTACATTGGAAACTTTTTTGTTTTTTAAATGGTCACACTATGTCATCAACTATCCTAGAATTAGGATAGTTAGACCAAGCTGCCTTGAAGAACTCAGAGATCTGGATGCCTCTGCTTCCCAGAGTGCTAGAATTAAAGGAATGGGCCACTAGGCTCAGCTAACAAATTAAAATGTTAAGGTTTTACATGTGGTTTTAAGTGGTCACAAGCATAAATTATGAAAATAGGAAGTTTACTGGGTTTTCACAGAACAGGTAAGATTAACTTATCTCCCCCCATTTTTACTATTGCTCTCAGAATATAAGTTTTACAGGGAGTGGTGGATAACCTTTAGCCCATCACTTGGGAGAGAGAGGCAGGTGGATGTCTATGAGTTAGAGGCCAGTCAAGACTACACAGTGAGAGACCCTATCTCAACAAAACCAAAAAGGAAAAAAAAAAAAAGTTTAACAATAATAGCTCATCATGGAGCAACAAAATAATGTATTAAAGTAAAGCATACACAGAGCTGGAGATGTGGCTCAGTTGCTAAGAGCACACAGAGAGCCAGGGGTTGTACTCCCATCACATAACCCGGGAGTGGCACAAACTGTAATATCAGCACTTGGGAGATAGAGGTAGGAAGATCAAGGTCATCTATGGTTTCTTAGTGAGTTTGAGGCCAGCCTGGTAAGCATGAGACACTATCTCAAAAAGAAAGGGAGAGGGGGGGGAAGGGAGGAAGGGAGGGAGGAGAGAGGGATGGGGAGAGAGAGATAATGTGAGTTAAACATTATTTGTCCTCTGAGCTTAGAAACATTGATAAACTAGGCTTGGTAAATATAGTACTATAATGCTAGCACTTGGGAGGCAGAGGCAGGAGAATTGCCACAATTTCTAGGCCAGCCTGGTCTACATAGTAAGACCCTGTCTCAAAATATCACAAATAGTTAGAAAAATAAATAAATAGGAGGGGGGAAGGGAGAACCTCATTGATAACTGTCATAATATAAGTCAGTTGTGGTGTTGCAAGCCTGTAATACCATACAGCATGATGGAAAAGGAGGATCAGGGGTTCAAGACCAGCCTGGAACAAAAACAAGAAAAAATGTCCTAGAGAACACTGCTTTGGATCAACAACACTAGGGATGAACACAGGCTCTGCTTGCAGCTCTTTGTCGGCAGCTAAGTTAACTCAGCCTTTCCGTGAAACAGGACTACAGTACTCATGCCATTTTGATGTGGGGATTGAATAAAGAGCTATTAGATATTCTGTTTATTCTCATATGTAGGCAGGCACTCACAGGGGCCAGTAGAAGGTCAGATTCCCTGCTGCTGGAGCTCAGAGAAGTTGTGAGTAGCCCAGTGTGGGGTTAAGAGCCAACCCTCCAGCCCAAATGGAAAGCACTTAGAACACCTGCCAAGCTCTTAAGTACTAATATGAGTTGGTGATTCTCAGTAAGCAAGTACAGAGACCAGTTTAACCATCTGCAAAGGGGGAGAAAACTGTTCCCCTGTCATCAGGGTTCTACAAAAAACAAAGGAGACAACAATAATGCTGGATGTTTACAGAACAACTCTTGGATGCCACTTTAAGGTGACCTACTGAAGAGATCCATCTCCCCACTCCTATTTTACAGAAAAGGTGATGGAGCTAAGATCTACTCGTTTTATTCATAGGCAACTATCTACTATGCTACCAGGGTGGATGGTTTTCTGTACTTGGGGGCAGGGGTGGAGAGGATGAATTTACCGCATTTCATCATTCACTCTCAAGTGAGAGGCACAAATATTAATCCAGGCATTAGCATAACCCAGTAAAACAAAATGCTGCAGACTGTGACTTCTCTGTGGGAAGGTGTGGTATCTTAACCAGGGAACCTTGGACCACATGCTGCTGTCCCCCTCCCCCAAGTCAAGCAAAACTGTCTTCAAGAATTCTCCATTGTCCTTCAGGGGAAGGTGCAGATAGCATCAAGGAGAAAGGGAGGGAAAGAACATTCCAGTAAGCAAATGAAACCAAACAAGAAGGGGGAGGGAGGGGATAACAACCAGATGGACAAAGTTGGGCACCCTCTGCCAGGTCTCCCATGGGAAAGGAAAGGAAGGGCTGTGCTGGGATGCCACTCAACACATGACAAAACCTAAATGACACTTTTAGTGAACCCAGAGAACAAGTAGAAAACCGAATCAGACACTTAACAAAGGCCAGAAACTTCCAGTTTCGGGCTCTTTTTATTTATAAAAAAACAAAACAAAAAGGGACTTGAATATAGTCAGGTTAGAGCACTTTGCCAAACTCCCTTATTAGTTTTGGAAGCTATTTTCTGGACTCATTTAATTAGGAGAGAAAGCAGTGGGGTCAGCTGTTTTGCTCCAAAACTAGGAACAAAAGAGCAGCCTCAGCTGGAATGGTGGTAAACACCTATAATCCCAGCACAGGGCGCCAAGGCTGGACTGCTCAAAAAGAAAACTTCAAATGAGATGCTCTCTTTCCTCCAGGGCTGAGATAAGAAAAGGCTGCCAAGGACAGATAAGAGGAGGATGACCCTGCACGAGGGGTGTGTAGAGAAGCAGCCAAGGCTGTCTCAGGAGTCGGGGTGGAGGCAGTGGGGTACAGGCCTACAGTGCCACTCTTAAAAAGTTTCATGATTTCCCAAATCTGTTTCCCTTGAAAGATCTGGGCCTCTAAAGTGGTAGGAGAAACATGCACTAAAAATGGCTACCACTGTTAAAAAAAAATAAAACAAAACAAAGCAAATCTATTTTCAAGCAATTTGCTTGTATTTCTCCATTTGGGGACAATTAATTTTTCAGTAGCTTCACAGGCATGAATTATAAATCTGACTCTTTCTTTATAGTTATCCCCAACCGAACCCAGAACATTTATTTTTCATTAATCTATGTTTTGTAGTAATTAGGTTAATTTTTGGAAGAATGACAACTAACTAGGCCAGACGCTCTGGAGATGGGACATAGATGTCTTAAAGCATAAGACAGACCTGACAATTAGGATGCTGTTTGGGTTTCTAGCAGGAAAAATGTGTAACTAGTTTAATAGTTTCATGCATCTGTTTAAATACCCACTATACCATTACACTGGAACTATAAACAGCTCCTTTCCCTTTAAAGGTATTTTTGGGGAATCTTATCATCTATCTATCTATCTATCTATCTATCTATCTATCTATCTATCTATCTATCTATCTAGTTTTTTAAAGTTTATTTTAACTTTGTTTTATGTGCACTGGTGTGAGGGTGTCAGATCCCCTGGAACTGGAGTTACAGACAGTTGTGAACTGTCATGTGGGTGCTGGGAATTGAACCAGGGTCCTCTGCAAAAGCAGCCAGTGCTTTTAAAGGCTGAGGCATCTCTCCAGCTCCCCCCCCCCCCACTTTTTTGAGACAAGGTTGCACTATGTAGCCTGGTTGACCTGGCAGTTAGT